GCCACACGGGAGGGGTGGGGCTGGGGGTGAGGGGTTGAACAGTGTGGTCAGGGGTCAGGGTCCATCTCAGCTCAAGGCAAGTTTACCAACCTTGTAAGTGTCCATTTATTAGGCATCACCAGTGACTCTGGTATCCAAGTAAGCAGCTCAGAGAACACTTTTCACCCAGGGAGCATGGCAAAGCACACACGAGATAGCGCAACCACATTCTCGGGTTGTCTAGCTAGGGGATGGCCTTGAAGAACAGAGTCACCTCCCTGGAGCAAAGAATTCTCCTGGGCATCTCACCCCAGATTGGCAAGAAGCTGAAGGTGGGAGTGGAGCAATATCTGGAGACAGGGCCCTCAGGAACAGACCCTGCACAACTCTTATGCCAGCCTAGTTGGTCCAAAGAATGTGGCGGCAGGGTTCAGGGATACAAGGATAGCAATGTCTTTGATGAACTGATCAGTTCACACCACAACTTGATGGTCCAGAGGATGCCACACTTTTAGCTCAGTGTATTAGAGTCTGTGTTCATTTGATTATGCAAGTTCTTTCCAGTCTATCAACCATCATCTCAGACATTGCAAGGGTAGAAAGAAAGCCTGTAATCACCCATCTCTGTTGGAAGCAATCTAACTATCCAGTGTAAATGTGATTTTTTCCCCCTGAATACCTCTGAGCCCATACAGATTTCACCCCGGTGAACATGAATGGAGGGGCTGGCTTTGGGGGGTCCCTCTAACACCTGTCTTGACAGGCTGTATGCTCTGTCGATGAATTTGCCCCAGCTCACGGTTTGCAGCCAGAGCTTGAGCGCTCTGCTGCCCAGGTTGGCCCTAGGCAGACCAGGTGTTTCCAACTGTCTCTGAGGTAACTGTCACTGTGGGGAAGGTCTGGATCAGGAAGTGGGGTACATTACGAGTGCGGAAGCCTCAGGACTTGACCAAAAAGTACAAGGGGTTGGAGCTAAGACATGCTGTCCTCTGGAGAATGCACTCCCTGGAGGATGGGGGTGGATAGGAGGCAGCATGATTTACAGGTTTGGGCAAAGGCCCAGCCCCCAGGCTACTGGCTTCTTTTCCTTAACGCCCTTGGGAAATTTTCCTGGGAGGGAAAAAGGCTTGAAAAAAGTTTATGTCTTGCAGCTGCCAGTGTTTATTTTACTTTTTTAGAAACACACGATTTTAAAATGACATCTTTCCCTGTCTCCTTTACATCTGTCTTCATTCCAGGACCTGGAGGAAACTCACATTTAAGATCCCAGTGGGCTGGGAGTGAGGAAGCCTCAGAATATGGCCAACATCCTGGATCCCTAAGCACAGGCAAGGACTGCAGTGTTATGGACTCCAAGTAGAATGGAAGCAAGAGAAATTGAAAGAGAAAAACAAGAAGCCTTGAGAGCTAGGAATATTGTACCTGACTACTATTCTCGGAGCTAGCATCTAGTGAAATCTTGGCCCCTACAGGACACTGGATTTTGTATTGCTTCATGTTCTCTCTTCCCATGGTGGCAAAATGCAGTTGTCTCCTCTTCTCCCCAGTTTGGTCTGCCCTGGTTTCGGTTGCCCGTGGTCAACCTTGGTGTGGAACCTTGTTGGAAAATTCCAGAAAGAAGTAATTCATCCTTTCCAAAAACAAAGAGGTAGTAGCAGCTTCATTATCCACCATTTCCCAAAACAATGGTAGCAGAACAACTCTCAATTCACGTCTACATGTGAAAGGCAAGAAAAGGAAAAGACAGAGACTGTAGAGGTGAGACTGAGCTCTCTGCCTTTGCACCCTTTAGCTCCAGGGCACTCGCCTTCCTCACCAGAAGCATTTCAGGGGGGAGATTTTCAGGCTGAAGGGGCCAGGTAAATGGCTGGGGTTGTTTGGAGTTTTGTTCCTTTGAGATAAGGCCTCTCTATGTTGCCCAGGCAGGCCTCATACTCTTGCACTGAAGTTATCCTCTGGGCACGGCAAGTATGTGCCACCATCCCAGGCTCCAGGGTCATTGTTTAAAGAGCAAAGCACACATTTTCTGGATGCAATGCAGGCTTCTTTAGTTTTCTAAATATCTTGCTCCAGGCATAAAAAGAAGGGACGTCCTTTCTCTCTCCCCCTGGTGTCCTTGGTTTCCTATTTCACCTCAGAGGTAAAATATCTTTTGCTTTGCCTTAAAGCGAGATTCTGAGACCTGAAAAGGGAAGTGACACTCCAGCCCTGTCCTTTCACCTAGGGGGTAGGTTTGTGCGGGGACTGCAATTTGGAGCAATCTAGGTGCAGGAATTATACAGGCCATGCTGAAGGCCACCTTCTAAAACCCTTGGACACACTCTTTGGGAGACCCTAAAGATGGTGCTTTCCTAGGCAGAATTGAGTATACTCATCAGCATGAGGATAGGTTCCCAGCTATTAGGAAATTTTCTTAAAGGTCCTAATGCAGCCTCTGCACAGAGCTGGCTTTGCTGCCAGTTGCCGCAGTCCTGTGTACTCCATGACAACCTGTGGGATCTCTCTCACAGGAATATTATCTCTGGGACTTGGGTCCCTCACATGTCATAGGATGCACAAGAGTGACTAGTGTGTGTAGCACACCTCTACACACACACACACACACACATGCACGCACGCACATACACACATACATGCACCCCCACTGCAGAGAGGCTGCCATGGTCTCATCACTTGTCAGCCAGAAGACAATGGTGTTTTGCTGGGAAAAGCAGCATCAAACAATGTGATTGGTCCCTGCTACTGTCCACTGTGTACTCCAGGGCTCAGGAACCCTTCTCTCACTTGAAAAAAGGGCAGGATGTTGAGAGACTTGTCCACAAAGGAAAACGATTAGGTGTCTGCCAATAGGAGGGGGCAGGGGCAAGGATGCGCTCTACATGGGACACCCAACCGTGCTGTGAAGGAGTCTCAAAAGAAAAGTGAGGTCGTGTAGCATCCCCAGCATGAGCGGCAGGGGACGAAGGAGGTGTCACCATAGCAACCACCTGCACAGAGTATCGACTGAGAGTCTGAAGACTCCAGTGCATGCCCAAGCTAAACCTGATCACGTTGATCTCAGCAATGCGGGAGTCCAGGGAAGGGTGCTGTTGGAACTGCACTGTGTTACTTAGAGGATTGCAACTTGTCCTAGAGGAGTCACACCAGCAGGACATGAACATGGGGAAAAGCAGTACAGCCCTAGGAGTACACAGTGTGTCCAACTATAGGTCTACGACACTCCACCATGGGAATTCAATGGATGGAGTCCTCCAGTCCTGCTCCCCTCCTATGTCCTGCATGAGTAACGTGGAGTACCTGGAGGACTCTGCCACCTGCCCAGAAACTTGTTTTGCCTCATAGGCTGGAGCACAAGTTCAGGCTTCCCACCTCCCAGGCAGCAATACACTTGTTGGGGATCTGCTGAAACTCTGAAAGGTGAAACCTACTCTGAAGCCCAGAGCAAAGGGCCCTAGCCCTGGGCCAGAGTCAAGAAACCCTCATCCACCTCCAAGCCCTGCTGCCCGCCCCCCTCCCCAGTTTGCAACACCTGGACAGAAGATGTCCAGTCCCACGGGGAAGCATAAGGAGGCTGAAGGCTCTGTGTGAGCACGTTTGCCTAATAAATGCTTTGGACCCATCGCCCCAGCATGGATGCCTCCTTCTGCAGGTTCCCACGGGCCCCATCTCAGGAGGCTTGGCCCAGCTGGTCATTTGTGGGACCTCCCTGCCCTCCTCCCATGGACCAACTCTGGTCATGGGCTGTGGTGGATGTATCAGACACAGGAACATATTGTTGTGGTCTTTGGAGTGCAGCTCAGACCAAACTCAATTCTCTCACTTTGCTTACATCTGTACCAGCGCTCCTCTTTATTCAAAAGGTCACTTGCCACAGCCACGCATCACTGGAAATCAGCAGAGAGTAGAGTGTGGTCTCCCCGGGACAGAGCTCTCCTCCCTGGGAGCCGCTTCCAAGGTGAACCTGGCCTTTGACGGACCCCGTGCCCGCCCCCACAGGGCACTTGCACTCACCACTGTACCTGGCCCGAGGTTCCTGCGCCCACTGTCCCTCACCACTCTGCTTTCCGCACTTCATGACCTTTCACACAGAACTCCTTGCAGGAGACTCACACTGCCCAAGACCCCGAGAAACAAACGTGCATCTAAGAACACCTTAATGCCTTAGCAAAGTGGACTGGGCCTCTGCACACCCCTCCAGGAACTTTATTTTTACACTCTTAGCTGTTGTACCCTACCCAGAGATTGAGCTTGAGCGGATTGCAAGGACTGCTTTCTCTGGAACTTTCCTCAGAGGGCTACACTCTTAGGGTCGCTTTGAGCAGCTGTGTAAAAATGGGCCCCTTTCAGCCTGAAACCAGCAGGAAGTGCAGTTCTGGCAAGAGAGTCATGAAGACCACGTACAAGGGAAGGAGAGATACTCTGCTCCTGAGCTACGGAGAGGATTTGCCCCTGGCCTGGGATGGGACACAAAGGCCCAGCAGGTCTGTGGCCTCCATGGCACTGACTCCCACGGCTTTGAAGCAGCAGGACCTCTGCTCCAGAACCGCCCCCAGCACCCTATGTGCTCCCCGGCAAGCAGGACACTGAGCAGACCTGGGAGCACAGTCGATGACTGTGAGACTGTCACCTTCCTGCCAACCAAGGAGTAGCCTCTTGAGGAGCTCTCTCAGAGTCCAGGGCTGCCCCTGACCTCCTCAGCATGGCTGAGAGCCAGCCCTGTGAGCACACGCTGTCCCCTCACCAGGGACCTGCCCTGGCCTTCTTGAGCAAACTTCAGGTCCCCAAATGACAGTATGGTGCTCAGCAAGCCATGGTCAGGTTTCAGGGAGAGAGATTTAGTGAAGGGTCATTGAAAACCCACCATGGCACGTAGAGGACTGATGTCTAAGGCCAACAGGTGCTCATTCCGGACAGTCTCCTCATAAAGTGAGTTCTCTCCACCTTGTCATCTAAATGTCCTTTCCTAAACCAATTCTAGCCACACTGATCAAAGCCCAGAAGGAACGGCAAAAAAAACATACTGAGAATTCACTTCTTTATTGCAAACATAAGTACTATGCAGGTAACCATAACATGGGCACATATCCGTGGCCCAGGCGTGTGTGTGAAGACAAGCTGCAACCGCAATCAGCTTCTGGAAAACGCCAGTATCCTGGAGCTCTTCACATCCCGTGGAACGTGGGCCAGGGGCACCGGCAGTGCATTCCTGAGCACTGCCTTCCTCTCAGTTTCCTTTGTTTGGTTCTCCGATTGCTAAACCAAGCCTGAGGTCAGAGGGGATAAGGGACTGGGTTAGCAGATAGAAAGTGCTATTATAATGCAAAAACACACCACATAACTTCTTCTGTTGATGACATACAGATTCCATGAGGGAAGCTACTTTCTTCGGACTCAAATATCTTAGAGGCCTGGGTGTGGACCTCAGTAGAGGACCACAGCCCCATGTGCTCAGGGACCTGAGATCCACTTCAAGCACTAGAAAACCAAAACCTGAGTGAGGAACATAACAACACACCTCCTCTTTCATCTCACCTTTAGAGAGCATCAGCTCCGTGCCCTGCTAAGGAACAGGCCTGAAAGGTTGACCCTGTCCTCCCAAACTCACTGTCCTTGAATGGATTCTCCCAGCTACGGGATGCAGGCCTCGGTGAGAAGTTGCTACAGGCGCCTGATGTCAGCTGCCTGTCTCCTAAGCAGATGAGGCAACATAGCATCCTGACTGCTGACCGGACGCCGGCCAGCTGACTCCTGCCTCTCCTCAGCAGGGTGAGTTTCAGCAAGTGTGGGGGCATTGGCATGACAAGCCCTGATCTGTATTTAAAGTGCTATGCGGGGAGGAGTCCCAGTTTAAAACATCTCCTTTCGCTGAGCACGTGGCACTCTCTGACAGAAGGCTCCATCCCCAAATGCACGAGGACCCTCGTCATCTGCAGCCCCCGGACACCTAAAGGCGCTCGGGCAGGGAACCTGGACACTGCTTTGATGTCACCTGTGGTGTAACACAGAAGATGCCACCAAAGCATCCCGAGTGAACTAAAATTCCCCAACATGGTCAC